CCCATTGGCTGGTCCCGAGTCAGCTGCTGCGGACCTGACAGAGGACGGGGCACAGCGAGGGAGGATGCTTCAGATAAAAACGGCGGCAGGAGTACTCGGACTGTCCTCATCTGGATCTGCAAACCCGGAATAAACCAGGGGACGTCCCGCTTTTATCGGACTCTACCGGACTCTGGTTGTTTCTTTGGGACTCCTCAGTCCGGGCTGTGGTTAGCGGCGGCTCGGAGCAGGACCGGGAGGAGCTGCGAGCGGAAGAGCAAGGTGAGAACATGGGCGTCTGTCCTCCAGCACGCACAGGAGCGCACGGTGCCCTGCTGGGAGAGGCGATCCAGATTTTAACAAGACTTCGGGTTTGTGCGGGTTGTCCGGGTTCAGGGCCGGAGCCAGAGTCCAGGACCGTGAACCGTAAATATTAGTCTGTAAATGTGTGATGAGCAGGTAGTAAAGGTGAAGCGACCGGATGTTAGAGGACAAAGTCTGGTTCATGTCTCATCACCTGTCCGTCAAGCACAAAACACATGTTGTGTGTTTCCGCAGAGAAATAAATGTGATGAAACACAACAGACAAGAAGCTGTGACAACAGCACAACAACCACTCATGGCAACAATAACACGTCAACAGCAGAATTAAAGGAATAGTTCCACAGTTTGGGACTCTGTTTGGTGTGCGCTCACTAGCTACAGTCAGGACGTGGTTAGCTTAGCTTAGCATAAAGACCGGAAGCAGGGGGCAACAGCTGACCTGGCTCTGCGCGCAGAACTGCAAAGCTGACTGGTTACTGACCTATTGTGTCTGGTTGGTTTCTGAGAAATGTGGAACCCATTTGTGGTTTTAGGGGAAGTTCCAGGCTGGAACAATTTCCTGACGAACAACAGTTTATCCATCCGCTCAGTGTGTGGAGGGGGTCTCCATTGCAGCAGGTTGGTGGTTTTGGTTCAGAAGTTTGAGTTCTGGTCTAGTGGTTCTGGTTTTGGGCCAGTGGTGGCTACTCGCTGCATTTTTCCAGAGCTTTTGATCACATCGCACAGTCCTCATCAGCGGATAGAGTTTAAGTTTTCATCTTTGGAAACAGTCACCGCTCAGAGGCCACTTCAGTTTGAATCATCAGCTTCAGGGTCTTCTGTCCTCTTCTCCTTGTCTCCTCTCTCCTTGTCTCCTCTCCTCACAGACACTGGTGGATTTCTAAACGGTACCAACAGGGTTCTGGCCGCATTGAGTTGGTGCCGTGTAGTCTGGCGTTTCCCACAGTAACCACAGGTCTGCTGCTGGGGTTCAGCTCCTGCTCCCCATCTCCTCGACTGGCTTAATGTGCATGAGTCGTTCATTTCATGTTTTAGTTTTTAGGCTTCAGAAATGTTAAACAGGAGTTGTTCTGTAATGACTTGAATGAATGAGCTGCTGAGATTTTACTAAATGGAGCACTAGAGAAACCCCAATAGACATCCCAGCACTCTGGTGCTCCTGGAGCTAGAGAGCACTATAGAAATAAAGTTTACTATTATTATTATCATGTGACTTTGATATGACAGCACAGCTAAATTCATGCTAAACCTTAATCCACAGCTGACAGAGCAACAGGTCAGTGCAGTGGTTCTGCAGAAATCCACCTTGACCACAAACCTCATGATTCAGCCCAGACGAAAAACAGTTTCTTTGGTTTAATCTTATGAAAGATCTTGGAGTTTCTTATTTTGAAATCCTTATAGTTTTATTTTGGAAACAACCTGGTGCATTGAGCTGGTCACATGTTTAATTATCAGTGTTAATAATTAAAGTCAATTAACCACAGTCTCCTGCTCTCCTCCAGTCACAGCCTCTGCAGCAGGACACTAAACGAGGCAGTTCACAAGAAGGAGGATGGTGCGTCTCCCTGTGCTGCATTCAGGTTTACCCTGGGAAAGTAGTAGAAACTAACTCCAATCGAGGCAAACACTCACCTGCCAGTTAATTAGGGACCCCTGTGTCAGACTGAGCCAGTCTGATCCAACAATGCTGCAGTGAATCTCCTTCAGTCTGTGTCACAGAGGGCTGGTTCACCTGTGTGATCAGCTGTTTGTGCTGCTGTTGGACTCAAACCTCAGTGTTCAGTGCTTTTCATGAATGTTTTAAGTAGCAATACAACAATACAGAAATACCCCATTACAAATAAAAGTCCTGCATTCAAAATTTTACCTAAGAACAAAAGTATAAACATCAAAAGTAAAAACTAGCTGTGCAGAACCTCAGAAACATGTATGTGATATTACTGGACTACAGCTGATGTATTACTATGGCGCTAATGTTAACTCCCTTTTATACTTTTAACATGAAGTACTTCACATACAGTACTGCTGGGTAGCTCAGTCTACACTTACATGTCAAATAGTTCATTGATTTATATTTTGTATGAGTAATCTGTATCTGCAGAATAATGATATGAAGTACAGATACTTAGAGGTATCTGTACTTCAGTACAGTACTTGAATAAATGTTCTTCGTTACTTTCCACCACTGAGTATTAGTGTGTAGTACTGCCTGTACAGTAGACCAATCACAGAGCAGCTCAGAGGCCACCCCACCCCTGGTCTCCTATGTCACCTTCTGGCTGGTTGCCATGGCAGCAGAGGCAGGGTGTCCCCGTTTCCTGTCCCACTGGACGTGAGTGTGTGTGTGTGTGTGTGTGTCCACTACAACAGCACAACTGTCTGGTTGCATTAAGTACAGCGTATAAGTGTAGTTGTAGCCTGCTGACAGTGTGAGTACGTGACAAAGGAGCCTCCTGACAGCTGAGTGGAGACACAACCAGCAGGGTCACTGATCAATCAGCTGATCATCGTCCTGATGATCTGATTGATCTGTTTGTCCCCAGAATGTCAGACACTGGGAAAAAGTCCCACTGTGACTCTCCAGAGCCAAAGGTGGCGTCTCCACACGTCTTGTTGTGTCCAACCAACAGATCCACAGAGACTCAGCTGATTCTCATGTCTGACAAAGAAAAGCATCAGCTCCTCACATTAAAGAAGGTGGAACCAGAACATGTCGGTGACTGTTGCTTCTAAATAGCTGAGGTTCATTTTCTACCAGTGAACTGACTCATGGCTGCAGCTCTAGGTCACTGAATGGCTTCATGAGGACGACACAGCGGGTCGGACACAGCGGGGTCGGACACAGTGCGTCAGGCATGGTTTTTTGTCCCACTTTAAGGCCTCACATAATGTTGTCTCAATGCTAAGCTAGGCTAACTAGTGATGCACTGAATCTGGCTACACCAGGACAACTTCAGGCTCCTGTCATGTTTACATCTGAGTTGCTAAAAAAATCAACAGTGGAAATGCAGAAATCACAAGCTGTAACATGAACTGTTAAAGGACAATGTGTCTTGTTAAACTTTCCAACCACTTCTTTGTAAATCTAATTTGAATGTTTCTTCTTACATCTTAGCCTTAACATTTAACAAAAAGATATGAGAGTGGTATTAGTCTTATGTAAACTTCTCTAAAAGAATGCACGTGCAAATGTCAGTTTATTTTTAAGTGACTCAGCAAACAGTATTGTAACCTCTGTAAACCTCTTGCCAGAATGAAAAGCCAAATATCTGCATATTTTGGCTTATTGCTAGAGGAGCAGATATACTCTCAGCCTGGAATTAAAGCAAGTATGATGCCAAATCCGGTCCATAATTATTCACTTGACTGCTGTTTGGCTTGTGACAACAGGCTAAACACTGTCGTCCAAAATCACATGGGTTATGAGAAGAGAGAGCAAACCATAGAAAGACATCTTTGCAGTGCAACTGTATCCGAAACAAGGAGAAAAGCTTTGAATTAAAATTTAATGGTCTCACTTGAAAAGACTGTAAAGATACACATAAGGGAAACTTAGGCCGATAGCTTGAGGATATACCATGATGCTGCTGTTGTGGCCTAGTGTGAGTGTATTTGATGGGTTTGCTGTGTGCTGATTGTCAGAATAAACAAACCAAAAAAAGGCTAATTTAGGTAAAGTACAAGGAGAGAAGTTAGTTGATTCAGCACCTATACAGACTTCTCTGAGGTCTTTTTTTCCTCTTCAGGACAGCTAAACAATGGTATAGTCTAAAATATGGTGTTGTGAAGTGTCTTGCTGTAGAAAGCAGACGTTTTGAGTAGTGACCCTGGCAAAGAAACTCTAACTTCTGACATCTCTGAGAATGACTGCAAGTTAGATTAACTTTTCTTTGCGCTATGTATTTGTAATAAGCAAAAAGTAAATTGTAACTAAGTGACCATGGATGAAGTGTATAGGACTAAATACTGGATGACAACAACAGCACAGGTTTTTGCTCCTGTATTGTAAAACATAATGAACATGGTTCCGTCATTGCTTTGTAAATGAAAGGTGATCTGCATCGGGCCCTGCAGCCCCACACAAGTACTACTGCATAGTACACAGGCATGACAGCGGTCCTGTGGAGATTACAACCATTCCTAATATACCATGTTTGCTAAAACGCGTAACCGTGAGGTAAATAGCTGAGGTGAGCCTGTCTGTTGTTGTATGAAAACACTATTGCACTTTTTGGCTGGTCAAGTTTTGTCAGTCTCCAGGTTCTGTAGATGTAAAAGGCAGAAACATCAGGAGATTACAATATGCCAAACATCAGCCATGAAACATTAAAGACC